CTGATTTCTGTTTGTTTTGTTTCGATTTTAAGTCCTGCCCAACTACTTAGTGTAACTTCTCGAGGAGTTAATTGGCATCTAGTGTTGCCGTCACAAGAAAGACGAGTAAACAGAAAGGCTGGCAGCCTGAACAGGATTCAGGCCCAGAACAGACTGGCGCCATGTTGACAGTCACAGTGAGAGGGCGAAGCGGGGGGAATCTATTTGGTTTGATCTCTTTGATTTTCTACCTTGTACTGTCGTTCTCGAGTGCTTCGATTTTTTACAACCGCTTTATTCAACGCTGGGATTGATGCATGCTGTTTGGTGTTTTTTTTATTGTGTTCTGAAGAAACTACCTTTTTTCCCACACTTTAAGTAAACTACACAGATTTCTGAAGGCCATTGCGCAGGCTGATTTAAAGCCACTGTGTGTAAATGTAACAGCCAAAAGCAAACATTTCTCCTGCCTGATTATGCAGCGCTGATAGGCAGTTTGCTCGGATCTTCACACATCCAGCGTTGACACACAGATCTGCAACCAGAGGTGGAAGGTAAACACATGCTGCATATTTTAATAGACTTAAAGGGAACCGATCATGCTTTTTCTTCTAATCTGTTATATACAAATGCTGTTACAGTGGAGTATGTTCACATCGAACATGGTCGGAGCTTCAAATAAAGAAGTTAGTGTACGCAGGAGTCAAAAACTCAGGCGCACAGCTCTGGAACCAGTAAACGAGGGGCAGCCAATCAGAAGGAAGTTGGCTTAAAGGAGGAGCTAAAACAACTGGCTAAAGGGCAGCAAATAAGCATTATTTTGAACAGTATTTCATGCAAAGCTAAAAAAAACAAAGCTGGAAATAACCTTAACACGCCCACTTTAAACATTTCAGAGAAAAATCTTCTTCTCCTTATTCCACCACATTTATTTGGAATCTGTTAGCTCTCGGATAACGAGTTTACATTACAAAGATTACACTATAAGCCTTATAAAACATATCGTAGGCTAAATTACTTGAGAGGTTTTTTTCTTACTTTTAATTATAAGTGCCTCATTTTAGCTTCGTTCGTGTAATTACTGTCGGCCCGACATTTCACAAACATCATCTTCTTTCCCAGCCCATTCCTCACACAGCACAGAGTTATTTTGTGGCTCTTGATGTTTAAAAACCACTAAACTTCTGGACTCAGCTACAATGGCACTTAAACATTGAGGCAGAGGTAACTAGTGACTAATATGAATTTCAGGGCCATTTTTTTTTATAACAAGAATTTTTATTTTATGATGACTGAACCTTTTGCAACCTTGAAGTCCTTGTACTTGGACCAGACACAATCTGTTATGAAACTAAAGCTGGCACACTGAAGAGGACCCGCTAATGCTATTATGACTAAAACTGAAGTGGCTGATTTGTTTGTGTGAGTTGAGAGGTTTTAAAATGTGTTTAATAATTAATAATTTGTTTACTGACTCACTGTTATAATCCTACAGTTTAGGTTATTTTTTTAAAATCACAATGAAAACTGATAATAAAGACACGAAGACCTGTGAAAACCCTGAACGAGTTCATTATAACGCAGAGCTTCATATTCGCCCTTCCAAGTCTGTCACTTGGACTTAAGCGGACCCTTGCAGTATACTTAGCTGATAGTACACTTGTATCATTGTTTATAATTTGTGTTTAGCAATTTTTTTCATTGAACCACCTTCACAGTGCATTTTTTGTTAAATTCTTGGAAGAATCTAAATGTTCGACTAATGCAAAAGACCCTTGGCAATACCAAAGCCAGTATAAAAGACGGACTTAGCCACTGTTACGTCCCCCAGTGCTCAGTAAAATCTTGCTTTAAAGCCTCAAGCTGAATGTTTTTACCGTCACTGCGTCTTGGTGACAACAAGGCGCAGATCTGGCTGTTGTTTACTGGATCAGTTGCTCACTGGCTAGTGACTTGGCAATCACCAGCTGTTAGCCAATGAGCTGACCAGGGTAATCATCCTAACTCTAAAAATGACCATAATTGACAAAATGGAAAATGGTGTTTTATTCAGCGTGACCTGAAAGCACATAAAGTCATCAGGTAAGTGTTTACAGGGGTCACAGACCAAGAAAGCCAAGGCCTGTTTTCCCGTAGAGTTCTATACAGCCAGAAGTCGTTTCAACCAGACGAGTTGCCCCCTGCTGGCCATTAAAAAGAGTACAGGTTTCTAAGGCACTTCTGCGTTTGCTTTGTTTGTCAGACCCAGAAGCTAAATCCATATTTTTTACTGGCTTTTGGCACCACTTCCCGATCTAGACCTGGCCTTGGTTCCGACACACTGGGGTACTCAAGCGAGAGATGTTCAAGTTCAAGTCTACACACAGTGGCTTTAACATCAGTTACCCTGTTCAGTATTCCTAATTCCTGCTTTTGTTTTCAAGTACATGGGAAGGCAATTGAAAAATAAAATAAAACTAAAAGTTCTACCAGGCTTAAAGCGCCATCCGACCAGTCTAGAATATCTGCTACTCTATGTAAACACTGACTGCTACCATGCTGCTTAGACACCAGCATGCCTCCAATACTCTCTGTTCTGCTACAAACAAGGAATTTGTGTAAATCGTTCTCCTTTCAATACTCAGCTACATGCTGATTTGAGCAACTCGATGCCTAAACTCTTCATTTATCAGCCGACCTCCTCCTCCTCTCCTGAGCTGCACTTATGTCAGCGATGTGGAAATCATAGCATTTGTAAAGGAACCAAAACAAAAGAAAGGGGTGGGGGGGTGTAAGACACAGAGGTAGAAACTCAAATCCGATTTACGTCTGTACAGCAGTGTAGCTCAAAAATCACTAGTGCTTTGTTTGTTTAGAATAATAACTGAGAAACAGATAGTAAAAGAATACTGAGAAGTCAAACATGCTTTAAGCTATGTGGTCATACATGACAAGTCTCTCTTTATTATGTGATCAAAAGTAGGGACAGGTGAACCGGTGCGTTTACCTTGTATTTAGTGCATTCGGCAATTTCCAAGCACATGTCCCCGTGTGCTTAGTACAGAATGTCCTGTGCCAAATCTTAATTGATCGATGACTAAGCGTCCTCTGAATCATCAGTGTTTGGTTTAAGGTGTTCTCTTCGCCCAATGTTTGCTGATGCTTTTAATCTGTTCCTTATTTACTCAAAGATCGAACTGGAACGCGCGGTCGATTTCTGTGGGGAGGCTGCGCTGCGTGCATGTGTGTCTGTGGCCACCAGCAGGCGAGCGAACCAGGCAAAGGAAAAAACAGAAAAGGAAACAGAGGGTGCGGGGGGGACGACAGCCTCATTCTTACAGATTGTCACAGAAAAATACCGGCGAGGACGTCATGTTTTTCTGATTTCTGTTTGTTTTGTTTCGATTTTAAGTCCTGCGTTCTGCCATATGATGAGGACATGCTACTGTCCTCGTTCAGAAATATCAGTCAGACATCAGCCTGACTTTACTGTCTTCCTTCTCCCCTTTTCCCCCCGCCGTCAACTGCAGCGTGGTCTCTACGGGCCCCCCTGGTGAGGCTGGACGTGCGGTCCCACTGTTGTTCGTTTTGTTACCTTTTTTGTTGCAGTTTTTGTTTTTTTGGAGAGCGCAGCAGTGGGGGTGGGGGCGAGTTTGTGGCTTCTCCTGGCCTCCCGTCAGCCAGGCGAGGTGAAAACAGGGAGCGGGGTTATGTCCCCTCCTTGTCGGGTTTGTTGACTGGTTTGCCGCCATTCATGACTACCGGTTCAGTGGTTGTGCTTTTGGATGGCGGGCACCCGACCAGTTTAGGAACTGCCTCTCCTACATCGTGTAACGAAGGCTCTCGGTACATCGCAACTGCAGGGGAGGAGCAAAGGAAAAGCAGAAGGACAGCGTGAAGAGAGACAGAGGATATATGTCTATGCATACATATATAAAGTGAAAATAAAAAGCCCAGTTTGTTACCTTCTATGGGTTTAGGCAGGAAATGTGCTGCTGGTTTGGTCTTTTTGACCCTGTTGCCCTTCATGACCTGTCCCTCTTTATTGAGGCCAAGAAACCAGGCCCGACCCGACTCTTTCTGCCTGTAGAGCATCGAGCTGTAGATCACATAGTAGTTCTCGAACACCGACTCCTTAAACTTGCACTCCGCCGTGAACAGTTCCTGAGGGAGACAGAGACATAAGAAAATATCGATCACATTACTTTACCACAGTTTGTGAGCCACGTTTTCTTTCGCAGTGCTGAACTCATGAAAGATTTATGTTTTCTACACTATTAAACCAAATTCTGAACTGAAATGGTATCAGAATAAAATAAACGAACTGACGAAATAGCTGCACACACAGTGTATGTATGCATCACTGTTACAGATAACTTAATTTACAGTGGTGTTATATTTGCTTTCGGTTTAAAAGGGAAAAAGAAAAAGTTTTTAATGAGAGTCTACCAAGATGTCTCTGTGTAGATTGTTGTGAATGTGGGCAAATGTGAAAACTTTAGAGCAGTAAATTCCAATAAAATTGCAATAAATGTTAAACTGCCTGCATTTCTATGGTTTAACTGTCTTGTTCTCTCATTTCAAGCTTAATACGGTTTTCTATTATGTGTGCTTTATGTATAGATACTACTTTGCACTGTATATTGGCTGCTATTGGCTGCTATTGTCTGCGTGAGACTTTAATAAAGTTTATTATCTGTAAAGTCTCACTTCCTCACAAATTCTCCCTTTTCGACTCATTGCTTATGCTTGATCTGGTGTTATTTTCTTGCAACAGATTCTGTAGGAAAAAAAAGGAACAACCAAAGAAAGAAAAACCCGATATTGACCAGCCGCGGACAAAGAGCAGAAGCACAGCACCGCCTGAATGATGTACTGCTCTAACCCGTGTCATTCTCGCTCTCCCCTGACGCTCTGGCTATGTGCACCAACAGCAAACTAAACACAAAGCCTCAAAGATCTCACCTCCCCACCCACATCAGCTCTGCTGTTATGTGTCAAAACTCTTTTCCATGGATGCGGGCGCCTCCAGCGGAGCATATTTCAGCCTAGAGACAAGGTGTTATTCTTACGGGGAGAAAAATCGTCTCTCCCCAGTGTGCGCTTGCGCTGCCGAGTACGAATAAAAGCCAGGCTGGGATAAAACGTTACTCTTTTCTGGGGGTTTTCAGACTCAATTAAATTCAGTTTTATTTTTATAGCACCAAATCACAACAACAATCGCCTCAAGACGCTTTATATTGCAAGGTACAATAATACAGAGAAAAACCCAGCCATCAGATGACCACAATGAGCAAACACTTGGCAACAGTGGGAAGGACAAACTCCCTTTTTCACAGCTACAAACCTCTGGCAGAACCAGGCTCAGGGAGGGGCGGAGCCATCTGCTGTTACCTATTGGGGGTGAATGGACGGAGGCATGACAAAAACACTAAAGAGACTCATCGAATAATTGCAGATGTCATATCAGGAGGCTCTGCTTGTTGAACCAAAGTGCTTCATATATATATTTGTTATCAACTCTGAAATTACATCAGTCCTTCAAATAATAGTTTGGCTTACTTGGTTTATTTTCTTTTACTCCCATTTAAACCAGGCAGAAAAAAAGCCACACATAAAAGATTTGCCTTTTTAAAGTCTTCATCCCACTGTATTTGAACATTTAGCCATCACAAAATTAATGCACCACAACAAATAAGCACTGGTAACAATGGTACAACAATTTTAGTGATGTATAATTTCTACTCGGATCTTTTACTTGATATTCTAACATGTTTATCACAATAACATAACATTTATGAACCTCACATTTTTATGAACCTCATTAATTAAAACTCAGACATGCAAATTAATATTTATTTATTTAGCTTTTTGAATTTGTCAGAAGGCTCAATAAAAACTCCATTTTCAGAAAATATGAATTTTCAGGCGATTATCTCTTGGCTCAGGCTTTAAAGGAATCATATATCCTGTGAAATGCATATTCTTGATATTTCTTTTTTCTTTACCCATAATCTCATAGCTCTCTGCTTTAACCTGGACTTTATTTATTAAATTTATTTATTTTCGTTGTACACCGTGGGAGAAACCACTGTGTATGTCCTGTACATACTACAGAACTGATTTTGATATCATAGCTGATATAAAAGCAATATGTTTCTTGCATTTATTTCTTCATTCCCTTATTTTTGCTTTATTAGAGGATTAGCAACACAAGTACTTTTCTTCTTTGTTGTATTATGTAGTTTGTTAGTTTGTAAAATCATGTATATGACGGTGGAACGACTCGCCTTTGGCAAATCAAATCTATGTTTGGCGTAGAAATAAAAGTAATATCAAACCAAACCAGCATGAAATCATTTATGGAGAGCGCGCTTTCCCCTTAGGGCTGCACTTAATGATTAATCTCATTATCAGTCCATTTTCGATTAAAACTGTAGGGTTAACAGGAATGGGAGAACATTTTGCATTTTCTCGTGATAAATTAATAGAATAACTCGACGACTGTTCTTTAATCTGCTGTTTTTTAAAGCCGATCAGTTAATTGAATAATGGTTGGGAGTTTCTATAGTTCTGAGGTTCAAATGTGGAAGAAGCAAAGAAGACGGGACCCCAAAACGGTTTTCACTTTATCTGTTATGTCTTTTTACTCTGTGAATAAGATTAAACTTCGATAGCCCTTGTGGGGAAATTAGAGTGATTTTCAGTCATTATATCAAAGCATGAGAGATGATTAGAAAACCAAGATTGCATATTAATATACATACCGAGACAGGGAGATGACTTGGGTCTGTGTGGCTGGAAATGGAGTGACTGAGGGTCTAAAAACCAAAACAGTGAGCTAAAGGAGGCTAAAAAGCTTTGGTGAAATTCTTCTGATTATGTGAGGAGCTTTTTTCATGGTCAGCAGCCCACTGTCGTAGAATATATATTGATATATATTGACTACTGCCTCTGTTTTACTGTCAAATTTTAATCCAAGCATTCATTTTGATTCCTCCGCGTTCAACAAGAGCACTCCTGTCTTAATCAAGCACAGATATCAATCACGCAATAATTTACAAAACGGTGCTGGAGTAATAATTTAATAAAAATAATACTAAAGCGTTAATAAACTGCAGCTCGTTTGGCTGCAAAGGCTCCTGCAAACCCAAACAATCACCCCGGAGGTCCCCAGACCCCAGATTAGGAAGTGTTTGTCTAGACTGTCTCTTATTGGTTGTTGTGGGCCTCTTGCCAGAGCCACAGACACATTGTCATTCAGCTCAGGTCTGTCGGTCCGAGTCTCATAGCAACATGAGGAAGAGTGGCGACACGGTAGCCGTGGCAACCAACCAGCGCTGAGAGGGAGGGGTCAGCGGGTGGGTGGGTGTATGTCTGTGTGTGTCTGAGGGGAGAGCTGCACTAGCGAGAGAGAAACACTTGCATTGGTAATTTAACACAGTAACAATATGATGCATTTGGTGCTCTGCAACATCCACTCACGCTAACATAGGAAGACATTTAAAGTGATATGGTTTTAAAGGTACGGCCGGGAGATGCCGCCAATGCAAAACACACACTTGTGGCTCTAGGGGATGAATGGAGGGAGGTGCAGGAGGGCTTGCTGGGATGTGAAATGTGACTACATGATTGGCTGGTGACGAAACAAGGCAGATTATAATGAATGAATGCTCTATTTATTGGCAATCTCAGTGACACCCCTTCAGCACACAAATCCAGCGCAGCAAATCAGATGGCTTCCTTTCAAATAAAGAGCATCTCCGCAGAGATGACTATTTGTGATTCTTGCAAAACACCAGCTTAATAATATATATATGTAGTCTTGACCTGCACACTGTATTCATTATTCATTTGTTAAGTAGGGTGATCTTTGGCGGGGCGCGCAAGGAGCGGTGCCAGACACTTATTAATGTCGGTCAGTAAGATCATACATCATTTAATGCTGCTTTTAAAATAAAAGATCTTTGACGTCTGATGGTCTGCAGCAGCAATATTTGGTCCAGTATGATTTCAGAAGACAAAAAAAGAAAAGAAGAAGTGAAGTAGAAGAAAGACTTCATATGAAAATCTCACAGCCTTACAGGTGAGTCATGTTAACAGCGCGGCCCGCCCCGAACGTGCTTCTGTCGTCATTTCTAAACAGCTATGTTCACGGGCTGCCCGCAGAAAGAAAGACAGGGAGAAAGAATGAATGGAAGGGTGGGGTGGGGTGGGGTGGAGGGGAGGGGAGGTTGGAAATTGGGACATGAAGAAGAGGGGAGAGAGAATAAATCACCAAGTGAGGAGGACGACGCCTCCTGATTGGAAAAACAGCAGGGGATTCTCTCTCTTTTACTCTCGCTCCCTTTTCTTATCTTTGTATTTCTCCCATCGCTCTCCTTTTTTTTTTAACGCTGTCATTTCTCTGCGCTCTGCAGAGATTTAGAGAAAGTGCACACACACACACACACACTGCACACATGCATGCACACTGTTATCTTTTTTGAATAGCACACACACACACGCATGCTAGACTGAACAGACGCCGCTTTTCAGGCCAGCCATAATCAGAGAGAGAAGAGCCCATTAACATGTTAAACATGCTGCTCAAAAACAGACTAAATTGATACAGGCAGCACTTTGTCCCTCATCCATTAAAGACCTAAAAAATAAGGAGTTCAAAATCAGACCGAGAGAGAGAGAGAAGCAGTCTAAAGTCTTGGCTCAGCGTAAGGCTGCACTAATAACAGAGCTTGGCACCTAGCTGATAATGCTGCCACAGCTTGACTGCTGGCCACTGAGAACTTCCCAGTAGAAACACGGGCAACAATACACCACTGTAAGTAATTACTGCATTTTACCAAAGCCTATAATCTATTGATTTGGTAGAATGAGGAACATGTACTGCTGACGGGAGCTGAATCAAACACAGGTTAAAAGAAGACAAAGAGTGCAGACCTGTGGCTGTGGCACCTGCTACATGACTCACAGGCTTCATGAGTTGCTTGTCCTGGACTGTGGGCTAAAAGACTAAAGACTGAGTGAGCAAGTTAAGAGGAATGGATCAGTATGGAGACGAGCCAAACCGTTCTGTCATCGATTGAAATTAATTTAACTAGAGAATGTAAACAAATTACAGCCAAATATAAAAATATAGGGTTTTAAGACTGATTTCAATGTTT